CCCCCCACCCTCTAGGCATCAAGTTTGCAAGTTGAAATCACAAACCTCAAAACCGGCTGAGTTAATGTGTTAATTTGATACTAAGTAAGGTTTGATACTATGGCCTAGGCAGTACAGCAGGTCAAACTATGACTTAATCTAGGACTTAAAAATGAATTAGCTCAGAAAATTCAGAACTATAAATGTTTACATGCAGGGGCTTGTCCGCCACATACTAATAAAAAATCATTAAAGCCTACACTTTCCCCTTTGTGACTTGAAGTGGCAAAATCGCCACATTCATCACAAACCAGGGCAGCCAGCAAGGAGAAGTGAAGAGAAAGTATCCACACTTGACGCTCCATGTCTCTCAYTGCTTCATCCTAAAGCACCCAGGAGCCCACCTGTCAGAGTGGGATSTGCCAAGGCAACGAGGCCAGTCTGCTTCACTGCCACCAAGGGAATGTAGTGAGCATGGCTGGGCTGGGGACAGCTGSTCCTCTGACAGACAGGACAGGGCAGGGCAAGATAACAGCGATTATGCTCCAGCAGGCCAAGGAGCAGCCATACGGAAGTTTCCAGCTCACACAAAGTATTTACACACGTGAGACCAGTGCACTTTGCTGGCCCAAGTTCAAAACAGTTGCTCAGAGCCCAGACTCTGAAGTTACTTTGCAGGGAAGATGTTTGAGGTTTGCTCAATCCAAGGAAGCYCTGACAAACAGGGCCGAAAGGATTGGGACTTAATAAATGTGGGAAATTTTTCACYGAAGTCCTTTAAACATGATGTCTCCACTCCTCTGCCCAAACGTGGGCAGCACTTCATGCAGACAGGAACTTTGCAAAGGTAGCACATCCAAACTCACTACGAAAGCATGGTGGTGACAGAGATCTCAACACAGGCAGCAATGCTTAGTATGCTCAAGGGATGCTATTACTGCACAAATAACMTCACAGACTTTGGACCAGATCCTCAAACTTCAATTTTATAGCCATTTTCAGGTGGCCCTGCACTGCATCTGCCCCCATTTAGCCTCTTGCTCCCCTCCATTGGCCAGAGTAAAGTAGCCCTGCAGCCAGGCTGRGAATCGGACAGGGCTAAAGAGAGTGTGTGTGGGGGGGGAGGCTGATGGTTAATTTTCACCCAGATCAACTCCCTGAACATGGCTCCTTGGAGTTTTTGTCAGCTGGGSCAGGGCTAGAAGGGGCACTTGGAGGAGAAAGTAGTTAGGACAAGGCAAAAGGCAAACTCTCCTCCAGGCACAATTCCCACCTGCACTGATGCAGTGCTTCCCAGATYCATGACTGGAAAGGATGTGAAAATCCCAATCTCTCCTCCAACTTGACAAGAGCAAGCAGCCGCTCTCATCTGCCCACTATCATACATAAACAAACTTACCAGCTTACGTGTTCTTCTACTTCACACCCGTATATTAGCAATTTTGTTAGCAAAGAAATTATCCCTTTCATTCCTGGGTTTTTTGCTGTGGATCCTAAGGGGCTCTGCTATGGGAAGAGCCTCTCATGGCACTCAAGGCTGCAGAATAGCCTGAGTGCTAAGTACAACATTAAAACTCATTTTTTTCTAAATGCCCCCTCTCTTTTCAGCCCATCACTCACAGGGTGCATTCACCTTTCTGGACTGTGTTTTTATGAGAAATTCAAAYGTTCAGGAATGCAAATATTATGTTCGCTGCATAACTACTACAAGAAAGCACCAAAATATTCTCAGCTTTCTTCTACAGAAAAGGAAACAGAAACTGCCTGTGCATAGCATTCATGCTTCTGTGCATGCTGCTGTAGCTTAGGTAAAGCTGTGTGTTGCACCTGCATATCCTACTCCACATTGGTGAGAGATAAAGAACATAGGGCTGAGGCATCCTTACAACCCCTTACCTGCCAAGATTAGGGCCTCCGCAGGGGAATATCACTGCCAAAACCTAAGAYACCGCCAGAGACACAAAAGCATTAAGGCCTAAATTGCCACATTCTRATGGCTGACATCCAATGCCACACTTTATATTTGATCATCTCAAAAAGCACTGGTTTTCAGGCTGCTGAATCAACCCAAACCCCACCGACTTCATGGGAATGGCATGCCTGGCATGCTTTCTCAATCAGGGTGGTTATGAAGGCTCCTAAATCTGGACAGTTAAAGGTTTGTGGGTTTTCCACCAAACTGATTCCTGTCACCAGCTCTAAACCCTCAAATCCAGAGAGATGTGACTGTCCACAGTATGTGCAGTCACCACCAGGAGAAGGCTGCCAGCCCCTGTTACCCTGGCAAACAGCTGAGCTTGGACAGRGAGATTAATCACACCTTTGGTGGCTACAGAGGGAAGAGGAGATCAAGTTAAAGGACTAAGCCTTTCAAAGATTCAGCCCACTGAAAGCAGAGAGAATAACAGCATGGAAAGACAAAGCCAACCACCAGCTTTGGGAACGCAGGAAGTGCTGACAAACACCTTGCTCATCAGCTACCACCAAGCATCTGAAAACATTCATGCTTTCTACTTCACGTGTGTGAATACAACCATTACCCAAGGCAAAAAGTCTGTACAGCAGGCCTTAGACTTGCTAAGATGTAAGTAATCATGCCATAACCATCGCAACAAAGGTTCTCTCTTTCAACACATTTTAAGGGTTCCCATGACCTGCAGTACACTAGTTAGTGCAAAATAYATTACTACTACAAATCATCACCCTCGTGGGAATCTTCCAAACAAAACGATCTCCTAAAGAGATTATTTTTTTTTCATTTTAATGTAACAATTGTATCAAAATTGTCCTTTTCTTTTTTTTCATTTGGCTCAGTAATGCCAGCCGTATTTTTTGAAAAGCTTCCATGAGGAAAGAGGCTTCTGGTTCCTTACSAACCACAGCCCACGGTGGGAAGGAAGAGTTGCTTGGTGCACAACCTCAGAGTGCCTGGGTACAATACTCTGGTAAGGTCATGCTCAAAGATGTAACCACCAACCCATCTGAACATACAAAATAACATGGTCTAGACTGCAAGGCATACTGGGCATGTAAATATTATAATTTCTTGTAATAGCCACATTTGAGACRTCTCTTTTTTAACAAGAGTAACAACAAGTTAGCCTACAATTCCTAGCCTCATATTAAATAAAGAAAATCAATAACTTATTCTCAGCTAGGCAATTTTCAGAACACAGAGAAAGCTGGAAAAGAAGTGAAAAGTCCATGCTGTTGCAATTCATTTCTACTTCCTAGGCAGTCAGTGTCGGTCAGACCACCCTGAACTGGGGTGCAAAAACTTTACCATTTCATAGCATTATGAGGAAGTTGAAGGGCTACTTAGACCAGAAGACACAGGGGATCTAACTACTCTTGAACTGTGCTGTTCTCCCACACTCCCTTGCCCAAATTAATTCCTTCCCACAGGAACTTTCAGACACATGTCCAAAAGAAACACAGCAATCAGCTCTCCATGTCCTCCTCCTCCTTGCAGCGTTACAGAGGGCTGGCTGCCCTGAGCAGCYCCAGGCATCCAGGCACGATGCTGGTGAGGAGGTCCCATGCCCAGGAGGGGTCTTGCACTCCAGGACCCTGCACAACTATCACTCCCTCCGGCCTCCACGAGTCCCAGGGTGGGGGCATCAGCCTGGCAGGCAATGTCCTTACTGCTGCAGAGCCAACACAACGGAGGAATAACACTTCTGCAAGTGCCGCAAATGCAAAGCAGCCACAGAGCACGCTGTCCCTGCCGAAATATGCCACTTGGCTACTGGCGGCACAAACTGACCAGAGCACAGAGCTGCTGGTTCTGTACTTGCACAGACTGTAACACTGGGGAACAACGTCCCCCCTCAATGTCCTGCGGGTCAGCAGACGCATACCTCTGCCAAGAGGCTGTAGGCATGTGATAAGTTACTGCATTTTTTTCCCCTAAACGCGGAATGCCAGAGACTATTCCAGGTTGTAAAAATCCCCCGTTTCCACTGTCATCACTGTGGTRCTGCTAGGAAAGGCGCTCGCCCACCCCAGCGGCTCTCGGCGAGACTCGATAAGGAACAACCCCAGCACACGCGGCAGCGATGAGCGCTCCTTCCCCTGATTTTTGTGGAGAATTTTAACAGCATTTACACACCAAKTAAAATCTACTCCCACTGCACCTAACTCAAATATGCTGATTAGTTAGGATGGTCACTTTAACTTGTGTTTAATTGGTTAAAAGGCTTCAGATTTAGCATTAGAAGGGGGGAAAAATGCAGATTTGCAATAAAAGCGCGATCACCAAGGACAACCAGCAAAGGTCTGCTGTGCCACGGCTTCACATGCCAGCACATGAGACACCTGACAAAGCCAAATGGGGCAATTTTCAGAAATTTTCGAAAGAGGAAAAGTTTCACAGTGTTCCATCAATTAACTCCCTCACGACGGAGGAGCAAAGACTGAAGTGATTAACAAAGTCAGAGGGTCAGAAAATATATATATATTCACATATACAAAAGAACGCTAATAATTATATCAAACGTGGGCGGGCTGGGAAAGAAGGAATTCGGGGAAAAYAAGCAACAGGAAAGGGAGTATGTGGCTGCAGCAAGGAAAAAAAAAATGTTAGCCACAGAAAACGCGTTAAGCGCCTGGAAACCTCCAAAATCTCAACTCCACCAAAGGGTTGAGGATCTTCCTTGAGGGCAGCTGGCGGCAGAGAGGAGCGGCGGGATCGTGCCCTTCCCGGGCGGGGACGGGGCCGCTCTCCGCTCAGGAAAGCGGCTGTTCCGGTCCCGTCGGAAGGAGCCCGACGGCGGCTCCATTTCCGAGCGGGAGCCGAGGCCCCGCCGGGCACCTCAGGGCCGGGTCRCCCGCGGGTGGCGGCGGCTGCGAGGATCCCCCGCGGGCGACCCGGCCTTGAGGCACCCGCTCGTTCCGCCCGGGAAGGGACGGGAAGGCGGCGGCGGCGGTCAAAGACAAAGCGGATGCCTCAAATTCCTCCCCGCCCCGCCGGTCTGCGGCACCCCCCGCCCGCCGCCCCTTCATCACCCACTTCTGCCTACCTGGGCAGCAGGAGCGGCCAGACTTCCCTCCCTCCCAGCCCGGGCTTGGGCAGCCGCAGCCCGCGAGGGGCTCCGGGACTCGGACGACGGGTGCGGGCGCTGACAATGAGGGGAGGGCCGCGGTGCCGGGCGGTGCTTGACGTCAGCGGCAGTGGGGCGGGGGATGGCGGCCCGGCCCGGCCGTGGAGCGGCTCCGCGGCGTCCGCTCCCGGCCCTGGAGAGGGCGGGGTGGGAGCGGCCGCCATTTTGGGGGGGTCGGGAGCTTCTCGGGGCAGGGAGGGGGAAGCTGCCGGAGGGCCTGAGGGAGGAACTGTCGTGGGGTTGTGTTCGTGGACGCGGCGCATTGCAGGCGCTTCGATGGCTGGTTGTACAGTGTGTTCGTGTTTCAGAGTTAACCGGACACTCCCTTCTCGAGTCCCTGCCCTGCGCTACCCCTGGCAAGAAGCTTTGGTGGCGGGTCGGGTAGTACCGGTCCCGGCTCTCTCAAAAGAGGGCAGAGCCCCCCGCCCGGTGGCACAGCGAGATTTTATCCTCCTCTCGCGCCTCCCCTTGCATCCCCCTTCAGTGCCATCTCTTGGAGAGTTCGGGACTTGCTGGTCAATCCAGCTGTGGTTGGTTCCACCTCTGGTATGTGCAGCCTGAGGATGCCGAGATGGGATCAGAGACAAGAGCCCCCGCCSCCGGCACTAACCGGGAAAAGTTGCTCCCTGTGTGCCTGGACGGTAACCGGAGCCCCGCGATTGCTGACCGGGCTGGAGGTGTGGTGAAGGACACCGGGAAGCGTGTCTCGGTCTTCTCTCCATCACCGCCTTTGCCCTTGCCCAGCTGAATCCACAGCAGACGTGGTCCGAGGCCGGTGAGCAATTCGAACCTCTCAGCCAGGCAGCGAGATTTGACAGGCTTGGAACCAACTGTTCCTTTTGGCCAGTGTGTCCTTAGCTAAACTCGCTTCMACACTTTTATTTCAGACCACGGCAAAGGAAGATGCTTCAAGCGACAGGTGGCCTGGCTTGTCACAGTTTGATAAAGTGTTTTCCTTGCTGTGATRCTGAGTTTAAATATCACTCTTTAACCCTGTTTCCATAGCACAGCCTGAAATAAACTTGTTCTGAATGAAATGTCAACACTTTTGAGTGAATTCTCTAGGTTACAGCTAAAGTGCAAGTTCATAAAGATGCCCGAAAAAGGCTAGAAATAAAATCCCRTAGASCGGTGTCTATAGAGCAGGTATTGGTTTATTGCAGCGCTGGAGGTGAGGGGAATCTCCTCTAACCCACCTGCCTTCGCTTAAAATTGYCACGTATTTATACAGTAAGCGTGGTGTAACATTACCATCATCACCATATATGGGTACGGAAATATATGATATCACAGTTCTGCAAGAACGCCTGCCTTATCTTTAATTTGGTGGTTGTGGAAGTCTCCCACTAATGAGAGACCATCATCTTCATCATGGTGGACTTTTCACCTTTGTCTTCAGGGCATGCACAGCTGTGATCTTCATGGGTTTTTTTTCTAGTCCTCCAGGTCTTCATATTTCATTTTTCAAAGTGTCCTTTGCATCTGCCAAGTTCTCATTAGTGCTCTCTACTGTTCCTTACTATAGCACCTACCTGCCTACTTCTACAGAAGCAGATTTATTTTTTGATTTATCCTTCTCCTTTGTCCAGACACTAATCCAGATGGCTGGATTACATCCAGCTGGTACAGTGTATGTTGCTAATATCCTATATAAAAACATAACAATATATGAAAAAGCTATTATTGATAATATATTGAAAGCTATTACATTGTATATTGATAATATGTAAAAAGCTATTACATTGTATATTGATAATATGTAAAAAAGCTTATATAAAATTTTCAATCAATAGGCCTCATAAGCTTTTTGTAATTTTGACTTAAACCATAGGTGTCAATAAGAAGATAGAGAATGAACAAGACCTTACATGCAGGCAAACTGAGAAGGGCTGTRAAGTCATTCTCACTAGGGAAAGCATTTGCCTTTCCCTGACACCACCTGTGTACCAACGTGCAAGCAGCAGAGACATGCTCCTTGTGCTGCTCTGCAGTGCAACCACATTCAGTGGTTTTTGGTTCTCCACAGATGCTGCTTSTAATTTCCAAACTGATGTGAGGTAGGTTTGCTGATACAAAACCAGCTCTTGATATGCATCTAGCAATGGTGTGTCTTGGTATAACTGGGAGATGAAATGGAACTTTAAAAAAGGTAGGGTTTTTTAAATTTCAGCAAGTGCTCCAAGTCTGCCAGGAGTTATATACTTTAGAGCCTAGTGTCTTGCATGTGCTTCTTGGATTTGGTGTGTTTGGGAGAGGAATGGGGCTGTGCTTGAATACTTTTTTTTATATGGTTGCGGTGAGACTCATTGCTACAGCATGATACTGKCACAAAAGGTACCCAAGTGTTTTAAAAAACCATGAAACAAATAGGAGAAGAAAGTTCTGTTAGTGGCTGCTGGGGATCACGATGATGCCTCCTCTGATTAAAGARCCTTCAGAGGTGTTGGGAAAGTGTTTTACATCCTTCCTCAGGCATGATCACCCTTGCTGCTGTCCACRTTGGTTTCTACAGTGAAAACAGCTGAAAGTAGTCATAGTTTATCCCCCATCATTAAGAAGATGGAAGTTTGGGCACCGAGATGGATTCAGGGGGCAACATTCAGGAGAGGATGAGATGAAAATAGACAGAAGAGGGATTGTGCATCCCCATGGCAGACCCTTTCCTTGGTGTATCCTTCATTCCATCTGTATGAATCCATCTGGTGAATCATTCCATCTGGTCACTGTGGTCTGCTGGCTGCAGCAGGCTGTGCAGGATCTTTCCTGGCACCCAAAGGAACCACAYAGCAGCCATTGTGGGGATATCTGGGGAAAAAGTTTCCTACCAGTGGTGCTGGCACCCTGCTTGGGGTTTTGGCAACCCAGCACCTGTCCTTCCAGTCCAAGAGATAAGCATTGCAGCCATGCCTCAGGCTTTGGTGAGTCCTCTCACGCAGTAGCACAAACAAGAACAAATGCTCACTAAGGACTGAGAGGCACTCCTCAGCCTCCTGTGCCCTCAGATTCACTGTACCAGCAGCATTGGTACAGTGAACTGCTGCTGGAGGGAAAGCAGAAAGCGTGAGGTAAAGTCCTGACTCACCCAGCTTGAGTGATGGAAGGAGGTGAGGGGAAACAAACTGAGCTGAGCTGATAAAGGGGGAGAAATGAGCCCTTCACCAAAGTGGCAACTGAACCAGCTGCTGGGTGGGGTCTGCCGTGTGAGGAAGAGTGAATGAAAAACCAGGGAATGACAAATGTCAGATCTCTGGATCCAAGTGGGAGACACCCTGCCAGCTGTGTGTCATGGGGAACTGGTGGTTCAGTGCCTGTAGCAACAAGGGCTGCCACTGCCCAGSCTGGTATTTCAAAGAGAAAAGCTTWGTGGTGTGAGGTTAGAGAYGTAGAAATTTCTGTCTAGGGAAAGGAAATGGTGTAGAGGAAAATTACAGAAACTCTGGCTGCTCTAAGAGAAAGCAATATTTTTTTCTTTAKTGTTTTTATTGGTGGGAACTTAGTGCAGTCAGTGGAAGCTACAGACAAAAGTACTGAAAGGCACAAGTGGAATGAGGGGTGTTACAAAGTGAGGAGGCAGCTCCAACTCATATCTGGGCTGGGGAGGTGCTGAACAAAAAATATCCAACTGGAAGGAAAGATGGGAGGAAAGTAGGGAAGCCCAACTTGCCCTGAAGAGTAAAGGGACCAGCAAGGGGGAAAACTACACAGAGGCTGCAACAGGAAGAGGAGGCAGATGCACAGGGGAGTAGAGGAGGGGCACGCTGGAGTTAAACTGCTGCTGGTGTGCCCTTGCTTAGAGCGGGCTGAAGAAGACTTGTGGGCTGATATGGATAACAGGGTAGGCTGGCAGGGAAGTGGTGATCTCCTTACCTGGAAGAACTATGACTAGAGAGTGGTGTTCTCTACAGTACATGATAGAAAGGCTGTTTAGTTCCAAGGGAGAATGGGGTAAGTAATGTGGGCAGGTGTGACCWGAGATGATGGGCGAGGGGGGATGACAAACACAATTAAATCATGAATAATATGGGGAAGCAACGGGCGCTGTCAGTGTGTCTGACAACAGAGGMTCCTTATGGGTGTAGCAGCTTTAAACAAATAAAAGTARCTCATGCATCYTATGCACAGCTTGATAAAAAGAGAAGTGGATGGCTCTAGGATGCCATGAACAYCAGAGGCATGAGATTCAAAAGGGATTAGTCAAACTCACAGAGRGAGTGCTTATTAAAAATGATCTGAGTCATCTTCCAGTTCATGAAGTCCCTGAACTAACTCTTCAGATATTCTTGCTATTCTGTACTAGCTCTGTTTGTATGGTGAATTTAAGTGAGGTGTGATCYTATTGCTGCTGATACATGCAGTTGTATGTCCCTTCTAAAATGACCTGTGTGTATRTGCTGTTTCTTCTGCACCAGTTCTGGGATTCATTCAGTTTATCAAAATGGCAGAAAATTAACTCAGAGTGAATACTTTTCTGCCTCTAGTGAGTTGAATTGGCCCACTGTTTTCTAAGCCAGTGGTTCTTGCTTCTCTCTGTAAAGTAGAAGTRGATTCCAAGTTTTCAGTTTTTAAGGATTTAGAAGATCAGAGTCATGATAAGATCCTGATTATTTGTTGAATTAATTTCTAACAACTCTCGACAGAGCTGGAGCCTTGATTATGCTAGGTGCCATGTAGAGTTTAAGAACATTATTCAACACAGCAAACAGGGAAAAAGAATCTGCTTGTGTGGATAGAAGTGCTGCATGGCTTGCTAGTTTGACATCATTATCTGCAGTTTCTGTGGTGATGTAAGTTTTGTTGGGTTTGGGATATTGTGTGTATGATGTTTCTTATTCCTAGAATCAGCAAGGTGCCACCATTARCCCCCACAGAAGCCTGCAACCATGTCAAGGCATGATAACAAAGGCCCTGAGAGGCAAACAGCCACATAAGAAACAGGTTGATATCTTGTTAGTTTGTGCTGCTGCCATCTTCCTCTCAGTCAGAAATCATATGCTGTGGCCACTGAGAAGTAGTTTCCATGGTAGTTCAAAATTGTAATTGTCTGTCCATCATTAACTGTGGATGGAACAGACAGGAAAATACCATCAYATCTTCACAGTACCAAAATACATTTTCAATTAGAATATCAGGGGTGGTAAAATCATAATTGTCAATGAAAGCATTCTGACACTGTGTTATAATGTGTGTCCTGCAAAAATATTTCCATCATGTCATAGACTGATTAATATTACAAAACAGTAAGAGACTTTTTGGCATGTTTGTTTGTGAAGATGTGATCTGTTCATCAACAGGGCTTCCTTCATATTCTTAAATAGTCTTACATATACAGCACTTGTTCCTTTGTACTCCCCTCACAAGGAACTTTTTCAGATTGGTGAGCATGGTGGGACTGCTTCAACCCACAGGCTTTCAATGACCATCTTTCTTTCAAAATGCAAGATTCAGGTTTGTCCWGGGAGGAGTGATCATGTTCCACTTTCATTGTCCTGCCAGTCTTCAGTCACGGTGACTCTTCATTGCTGACATTCATTTTCTTCCCTGGTGGTAGGAATAACCTGCACTGGAATTTAATTGCAGGAGAACACTCATACTTTGACTTTTATTCAGCTTTGTCTTCTGTTTTCAATAAATTTCACATTGTCATTGAAATAACTATCTTCTTGGACATATCAATATGTACTTCTATACAAACATAACATGTTTTGACTTACCATTATGCTCAATATTGCAAGAATTCATTGGAGAGGCACTGAGAAGTCACACAGCCCTCATGTACCTTCTGTGAAATGCATTTGTGTGTTCTGGAGTGCAATTCACAGAGCATTGTAAAACATTGTAAATATGGACATTGATCTCTGTGACATGAGACCCTCTTCCTTTCAACTCAGAGGCTGTGGGTGTTATTTATTTTTAATTTATGATCCCTAGCAAGTGTTTTCATCTGCCAGTTTCATATCACTGTTTTTTTCCTATATAAGTTACTGAGGCACTCTGTCAAAGATTTACTGGCAATAAGAATCATGTAATATTAGACCATGTGCCTTTTAAAATTAACCTATAATCTAATCAAAGAAAAGGCCCGCTTTGTTTACTCTTGAATTAAACAGTGTCAAAAACGAGTGGTRGATAATCTTCCTATGCTATATTTTGCCTTTCTGTTCATTGTTGGAAATCTTCAGGAGTAGAAAATACAGGAAGAGAACAAAAGCACAGCTGATATGGGCAGATAAACGAGAATAGAGTAGCCAGCCTCTCAAAGGCCTTTCCAGGACCATGATAATTTTATGTTTCACACTGCTCAGGTGAATCACCCAGGGATCTTGGAAGTGGTCCTGAATTGGCTTAAATGTGAACATTTTGGATTGTCATCATCATCAGAGGATGAAAAATTGACACGTCCTCATGAAGCCCACCAAATAATCAGCTACCAGAAAATGAGAAGCAATGCTCTCTCTTTTCTGACAGTTCCTGCCATACTGTAGAGCTACACTGAAAATGGAATGCTGCCATATGAAGTTCTACATGGCAAGAAGCTATTGAGGGACAAGGTGGATGGAGTCAGTTTGCAGAGCTGTGTATTTTGCTGAATGAGAGAAATGGCCATTGCTCTAGTTCCACACTGACTCGTGGATGGTGGCAAATGCTCTGCAGGGGGGGCTGGAATGATGGAAAATGACTGATTGGCAATGCAGAGGGAAACACATCTGGGCTGCCAATGAGTGGCATGACATTGCTGTCTGAGACGAGAAGTTGGCTGTGAAAATCTGTCATGTGAATGCTCACATACACAAGAGTCAGGCTACTGAAGAACATCTCAACAATAGACAGGGGGATCGGACTGTCAAGGCATTCCCAAAGCAATGTGTGCCTTTCATATGCAGTACAGACATGACACTTCTGATGTAAAATGCCCAGAGACTAAAATGTTGCATGAAATTTGGGCTGCACCACTTGGTGTGCTGTCTTGTCTGAGGCTTCATCCAAGGTATCCATGTGCCAGTTTCCCACCTGCCAAACCAGGGAAATAATCCCAGAGCCAAAGAACTGCATGTCAGAAGGGACCCCCCAGCAGAGGGTCCTGACAGTATGATTCCTGATTGAAGTTTGTTTGACCAGTACTTACAGAATGCCAGACAGTGATGCCACATCCACCCCAACAATCTTAATTACTAAGAAAGTTTTCTTTGGTGTGTCACTTCATTCTCCTAACACCCCTTTCTAACTTCCCATACCTTGTCACCAAGGAGAGAACCTTCTGGCTATTTTATGAGGTTCTAGTCATTCCACGCTGGCACTGGCTCTATTCTGCTGTTTCATTTTATGCATGCAAAAAAATTAAGTGACAGAAATATAAGCTCAATAATTTTCATGCTATTTATTTTGTAGTATTTCTGCACTGACTATTCTATTCATGATAAAATATGTAATAATTAATACAAATAAAYTGTCATCTTTCTACAGTTCACCAAAAGCATAGCTTCAAATGCAGCCTTTGTGAAATATCCACATAACTTACATCTGTCCTATGCCTCTCTGCCCTGCTGCTGATTATAGTCAGGTTGTGTCACACATCTTCTGAAAAAGTTACAGGTTTTATCAGCTTCACATGGGTTAGATACATGCCATAGAAAATGTAAGTATCAGATCCTGCTCTCTAGAAACTTTCTCAGCCTACATAAATGGTTAATAATACACAACAGAAATACTAAYGTCTTGTAAATACACACACAATTTCCTCCCGTCAGGTTACAAAACATGGTAGAATTGGATAATAACACAAGACCAGCTTCCTGGTTCACACGCCTTCTCTCGTAGCAAAGCTTCTTTCATGTGTTGTTGATCTTATATACAGGTATGATCACAGCAGAGACCATGGATGGGTTCTGTTACAGAATGTACAATCCCAGACAGAAAGTATCAAATTGGCAAGAAATTCCCAGTTACATGCACAGAACATGGTAGCAGCAGAGATGGCAAATATCACTCCATTCCTTAGGAATAAAAGCATGGAAATTTTCAGGTAGGCTGTGAGGTTTCACAAGGATCACTTACACAAGAGGAGAGTCTCAAGATGAACACTTTTTGAAAAGTATTAGTTTTTGGAAAGCCTGTTTAAATTCTTCATTAAAAGCTGTATAAATGACTGGATTGATTAATGAGTTTAGGTAACCCAACCAGGTAAAAAAGTCCAGTAGTATGGGAGGAAACCAACAAGCATCTTGGCAGATTGGTAGGACTAGGGATGTGACAAAAAAAGGCAGCCAGCAGAAAATAAAAGCTCCCAGAATAATTCCTAAAGTTTTGGTAGCTTTCCTTTCTCTTGCAGCAGAAATTCTTTTCCTTTCCAGCATACTACCTGCAAGTTTTATTTTAACGTGACTGATAAATATTGGGGATGCACCTGTATGGGAATGCCCTTCATGGAGGCTAGCATTAATGGAGCAGAGGGAGGACCCTGCAGAACCAGTGATCAGGTGTGCAGTAGTAAAACGTTTCCCATATAATGAGGGTGAATTCAGAATCCTGGATCGAGCTGCTGCATAAATTCTACCATACAATATCAATAGGAGCACGGTTGGGATGTAGAAAGCTCCACAAGTAGAATAAATTGTATAGGAAATTTGATCTGTGTTCACTGTACACTTCGCAATTTCTTCATGGGCTTTCACTTGCCTCCAGAAAAACGGTGGCACAGAGATACTGATAGATATCATCCAGACCACAGCAATCATGAGGGCTGCTCGGCCAGCAGTCCGGCGTTTGGTGTATTCCAAAGCGTCTGTGATAGCCCAGTACCTGTCCAGTGCTATCACACAGAGGTGAAGGATGGAAGCTGTGCAGCACGTGATGTCTGATGACAACCAGATATCACACAGCACTTGGCCAAAAGCCCACGTATGGGTGACAGTGTAAGCAATGCTGACAGGCATTACCAGCACAGACACCAAGAGATCAGTCACTGCCAAGGAGCCTATGAGGTAATTTGCAGGTGTGTGGAGCTTTCTAGTCAGAAAAATTGTAACAACAACAAAAACATTTGCAAGGATTGTGGCCAAAGTTATAAGAGACAGAAAGAYCGACAGGGAAATCTTCAGCCCTAAGAGTGTTCTTTCATCCCAAGACAGTGGTGTTTCAGTGAAATTTAATGATTTGTTTGTGGAGCTCTGGAGAGAGAACTGTGCTGAATGGTTGTACTGAGTCATCCTCCAACTTCACCTTCCAGTGTAATCTTTCTGGGATGATGAAGAAAGAAGTTCACTTTTTTTGTTAAAATAGAACATTTCCTACTTCGGTCCAACACTGAAGAAATATTAACTTGTTGGAAACTTCAGCTGAAACAGTAGATGAGGTACTCTCCTAAGCAACATTTTCCATCACATCACATCAATTACATAATTGTTAAAGCAAAATGTCATCCAGACATGAGTTTGGTGTATGACAATGAAAACAGTACTATAAGCAATGGGAATTYAGGTGGTTTTAATCTTGAAGAAAATTAAGTCATTCTTTATTATCTTTTTTTCACACCTCCTTTCTGACCTAATCTTCTGCAAAGCTGCATAAATCAATACTGAGGAGTAAGAGACAGAAAAGAAACATCTGGGCATTCAGCTGATGCCTCTWTGCTTGGGACAAAGCTACCCTCAAGAGTATTTTCCTTTTCTCTCTAATAGCTGTCTGTCATSTTTTGTGTATTTACAAGGGACACTTTATTAGTAAAGTACCTAAGATATAAAACAGTACTTCTGGATTCCCTCTGTAAACATAATTTCTGCCAGATTTGCAAATTAAGCCTTCTTCAACTACAGATGTCCATTTTCATTTATTTCTCCAGRCCATTCAGGTTTTCCCTTCAACAATCAGTCCTGAAATGCTGAAGTCAGGTGTTGGGTACCAGACCCAATGSATTGGTGCACATTATAGCACAGTGTGCAATCTACAGTCTTTCCATACTTTTCCTTGGATTCACCAGGACTGRATTTCCTGAAGTCTTCACAAACCCAAAGGAAACATCCTAAGACAGATTTTCTTCAGGCCTTTCACTCACTTTCACCCATGAGTACCAGAATGTTAYATTATGCCAGCCCAATCCTTCTTGAAAGAGATCCTGTGGCTCGTGAATGGATTTGAAGTGTTCTATGAGAGCTACAAGAGAAAACACTGAACTTCTCCAAGGAGATAATCACCAGGCCAACCTTCTCCCAGCCCTGGAGGAGACACAGCTCTCTGATCATCACTGGTACAGATCAATGCCATCCAACCCAGAATGGAGAGTCACTCGGCTGGCAATCTGTGGAGCAAGAGGAGCATATATTCTACATGAAACATCAGCACTTTGAAGTCAAACAACCTGTCTTAAGCTCCTAAATCCTAACATTAAAAGCAACACTTTTCAGTTTGGTGTGTTTTTTATAAACAACCACCTTCTGTGAGTCAAACATTTCCAGACATGCTTTTTCTTTTGAGGTGTACTTTTCCAGTAAGGGGACATAGAAAACTCTCATATTTCACACTAGACTATAAGTTTCTTGACTTTTTTTTTTCTTCAGAAAGGGAAAATTCCTTCCCAATGGCCATTTCGTGACACTGAGTAAAGGTTCAATTTATAACAATTTTTTAACATAACAATTTTTATAGTGACCAAAGTCCATCAAATCCAGTCATCASTCTCTGGCAATGGTCCATACATTCAGCTCAAGCCTTTTGCCTTTTTCTGATGCATTCCTAACACTGATACATTTTTCGGAGACAGAGATCAGAACCACAAACAGTTGTTGATGTGGATACACCATAGATCTATACTTCAGCACAATGGTATTATCTGTTCTCAGTTTCTTTCCTAATTATTTCTGAGAAGTACTTTGCTTTTTGAATCATTGCATAGCACTGATCTGACATTTCCACAGAGCAGTCCCAATTAATATAATTCCAAATACCTTGAGTGGTAACATCAGCTTTTTTCCCTTGTCTGCTCAGTTGTTGCATCTGTGATACACTTCTCCCACTTTTAAACTAAGGCTCCTGCACAGTCAGTCCTTGTCTTTAACACTCTGAAGAGCTTTGTTTCACCATCAGATGTCATCCACACACTATTCATGTACTTTCCAGATCACTCAAAGTCTCTTGAGAGTCTAAGCAATTGTATCAGTTGGACTTCACTCACTCCATATACTCATCAGCTTTTCTTAATTAATTAACAGATTGATGAGGCATAATTTACCGTTACTAAAGCCTGAACTTTGACTGTTACCCAAATCACCATATTTATTGTATGTATAATAATACATTGTTTATTATAATTTCTKCCAGCTGGCCATAGGTACAGATGCCAGGTTGTGGCTCAGCACAGAAATAAAGGTTTCACTTGTAAATATCCCCCAATTTCTCTTTAGTTGAATAGGAATGCTGAAGTTAGTCTTGTTTCTCTGTAAGGAATTTCCTTTATCTTTGATTTTCCCATACCTTTACCATTCCTTTAACTCTGACACAGTAGTAGCTCAGTTCAGAGCTCTCATTTTTAGAGTCGAAAAAATCTCTTACCTGAATACTGGGCTGCTCACACATCCCACACAGGAGAAAATCTAAACCAAAACCACCAGACAGACTTATTAGCACTATTAAAGGCAATGACTGTATTACCTGAAAACCAAAGCCAAATCCAATTTTGATTTCAGTTACTAAAAAAAGGGTATCAAGCCTTTCCCATATATTGTATCAGCTTTTTCTCTCTGTAACAACTATTCTAGCAATGTGAACTAAAGTGAAGTGCACCTCACCCACCCACCTGTACATGAAAAAGCCTATTAGTAGTCCTATTGCTGCCACCACTCTTCAGTCACTGTGGGGAAAAAAATTAACTGATGTAAAATATGGTATTGGCAGTCCAATGAACTAGTCTAGAATTCAAATGAATTATAAATCTTCAATGTAAGAATAAACAAGCACCCCAACACCGAGAGAAAGTTGTATTGAAACCAAACATATACTGAATTAATTTTTATAAATAAATGTTTTCCTCTCATGTGATCACCAAAGGAAAAGAACCAGTGTTTTACAATAATGCTTCAAGCCAGTTATTTATCCTGTAATCAGGAAGAGTTACAATCTAGACAAAATGAACATATTCCAAATAATTTAATATTTCAATGAAATTACCTTTTACTCAACAAAAAAATGATGAATAGAGGCAAATTATTTTCCTGTTAAAAAGAAAAAGAAATTAAGTTTGTGTAAACTACAGATACTGAAGTAAAATAATATTAAATGACAAGCAGTCATTAAGGTGCATCAGCACTGTACTTGCTCCATCTTTTCTTGGCTCTCACCTAGTTCTCTTAGTCGTGGACTGCGGGTTATTTTTTTCACTTCAAAGCACCTAAAATAAATTGAAGGTGATGATGTCACAGCCAGCCAGAGTGAGGTTTTACAGCACAGCACGTGTGACATACAATGCCAAGCCAGAGCAAACCAGAGCTGTGTTGGATGCTTGCTAAAGGGCAGTGAGGAACAGCACAGTGCCTGGTTTGTCCATCCTGCTGTCCCCAGTAGTTTTTCCACACTACTGCACGGAATGGCAGTGCTGTTTGGCTGTTTTTCAAGAGAAGATGGGACAAGCACAGAGCCACGAAGTGAGGATGAGAACCAAGGCATGCAGTGACCCTGGGCTGAAGATACRTGACAGTGATGATATAACCACAGCAAGCAGCACTTCAACACAGGAAAGAGCATTTAAATGGAGAGACAAATTCAGACATTGCAGTGCTGTTTAACTTAGCAGAAAGCTTAGCTCAGGGTCTGCAGGTGAAGAAAAGTCACGTGCAATGTGAAAAGAAAACACACTGTTGGCGATAACACTGGCACTGCTTCACAGTTCAGGTCCTCATTTAAAACCAAATACTTCTTAGGAAATGGTGCTTTGTGTTCCAGCTCTGCAGTTAAACTCAGAGAACCAGGATAAGGTGTCAGGGGAGGTATTTATGAGAAAAAACTGAGCAGCAGGTGTGCCAAGGCAGGTACAGTGACAGGCAGGAGAAGGCTGGGTGGCACCAGAGAGATCCTGAAGACCAAGTGTCATCCCATGGGCTCTGGGCATGGAGCTGCAGGGGTTGCCCATACTTCAGTCCCAAGGGTAAACAAASTCCTGACACATTTCTGTTCCTTCTGGAGCACAGCCATTACTGGGGAGTGGGGCAATTCCTGCAGACCATAATTTCACACACTTTCTGAGGATGCTGGGCTGCAAGGAGAAGCCTTTGATGCACCCCTGCAGAGCTGGGTTGGAGTGGGATAAATAGTGTGTACAAAAATAGGTTCATTGAAATAAAAATACAGAATTTATTCTTTCACTAAACAGAACAGAAAAAAAAAAGTGAAATGACATAAAATGTCCTTTAATAAGTTGCACATTTCCTTCAAGTTCACACTGAAGTTAGAGAAATTAGGGAATAAATTTTCTTCTCTTGAAGCTGGAGAGTTGCAAAGGGATGGCTGAGAACAGAGCTGAACTTCAGCAAACTACTGAAAATCCATTTGGTAACGGATCCTCACTTTTAATCTAAATGTAGAATCCACTATCTTACCTAAATAGACCAGGTCYATTCTGTCATGCTGAAAGTTGATCAGCAGTGGTTTCCAGTGAGAGCCAACAGCAGTGGCCAGAAGGACCCCGTGGGACAGGAGGTGGCACTCTGGCCAAGAGGAACCCCTCTGAAGGCACATTTCAGAGCAAAACTCAAAACAGGGAGCAAGTTTTGATTAAGTTTCTTGCATATTTGGAACAATTGACACAAGCATGCATCATAGAGTAGGTATGGAGCTCAACTTGAAGACAAAAGCCCTGCTCAAACAATGTCAAATATATTTAGAATTAGCTTTAGAAATCTGCCCATCCAGAAAGCATAACCAAGGATGCAGCTCCTGGGAGAAAACCAGGCAATGCTATAGTGTATTGCACTGAACAATGAAAGGTACAGTCTATGTAAATTCTGTTTGCACCAGAATTTCTGGTCAAACGCAGCAGCGGCTGGGCTCTTTAGGGCTGAGCATCTCTCTTCACTGCCAGTGAGGGGAGCTGGTAGAGAAGAGTTCAYGTTTCTGGAGAAGTGTTCCTGACACTGCAAGTGTTCGCTCCAGCACGGCTCATGCAGAATGGCTASATGTCTAATCTGCTAGGATTATTGTTACTATTTCCAAGTAAAACAGGCATGCCTATTTTGTTCCTTTGATATACATTCTATATGAGAAACTCTATGCAAAACATTTCTCATTTTAAATAAGCAATGCTAGTAATCGGTAAGCAAGTATTAGCAATGTTTAACATCTTTACTCTCTTCTCCCCACTTTCTATTTTTGCTCATCTTTTAAAAAATTTTTGGTACTTTTCCTCTTACCTTTATTTTTACACTGCCAACATGTATTAGCTACCCAACCCATTGTTAACTACCAATTGCTGTTACACCTTATAACTAAATGTTACTTATCAAAGTCAAAGGCTGGGATTTCATGGGCAGTGATGYTGGCAAATACTACATTGYAAGAACAGACTCTACAGCATTTTACCAATAAGTTCTTTGRAGGGAGCAGGGACTGGAGCATTTAGCTGTCAGCCATAAAGTCTCTGATGACAAATGTCCACAATGCAAAACTTCCAATTAACGTTTTCCTTCTCACATTTTGTGTCCCATTATAATTCAGTGTTATGTAATCAGTGGAATTTTAAGGGTCAAAGAAGCACAGTGGGGTGTGAGATTGTAACACCAACTATGTCCAAGAGCCTGCAAGGTGGGATCTAGAACAAGCAGARTGACACTGATCTGAGTGAGCTAAGTGATAATGAAACTTTATTCTGGCACATCTGAAGAGTGGCTGATCATATCAGACTCTATCTACAGAAATTACTTTCCCCTCCTGTTCTAGAAGGTGTTCAGTAGTACCCATTTCTTTCCTGTTTCTGAAAAGGAAGCCTGGAGTGACACCAGCACATAAAAGCCCAACTTGAGCCTATCAGCCTTGCCTAAAGTCTAGAAGCAGTGGTGGATGGWAGGAGARCTGGTGCAGGAACAGGAGAACAGCYGGGGTCTCCCAGSTACCTGCCCTGAARTATTARAAAGARTG